GACGACGACGACGGCGACGACGACGGCAACGACGACTGCGGCGGCGACGAAGACGACTACGATGATGATCATCACCATTACGGCGACAACGACCACGCCGACGACGACGCCTACGCCGACGACGACGATGATGGCGACGAAGACGACGAGGATGGCGACGACGACGACGTTGACGACGACGGCGACGACGACGGCGGTGACGACGACGACGTCGACGACGACAGCGATAACGATGATGACGACGACGACTACGATGGCGACGATGTCGATGATGACGAAGACGGCAACGGCGGCGACGGCAACGGCGACGACGACAACGACGACGTTGGCGACGACGGTCCGCCTGGTTTGCCTTTCTCCGCCAGAATTCTCTTCCGCGCGCGCCGTTGCGCAATTCGAGGGGGGGGCGCCCGCGGGGCGCCCGCCCCCCTTGCCCGCCGAGCCGGGAGGACGAGGAGGAGAGGAGGAGGAAGAGGAGGAGGAAGAGGAGGAGGAGGAGGACGAGGAGGAGGAGGAGGAGGACGAGGAGGAGGCGGAGGAGGAGGAGGACGACGAGCTCGCCCTGAAAAATCACCCCGTCCACCCCCCTGGCCCCCGCGCCCTGGATCGCCACCCCGCGCCCCCCCCCCTGGCCTTCCAGGCAGCCCGGAATTGTCAGCCCCCCGTCTGCCTGCCCTGCCCCCCCGCTATTGCGGGGGCGAGGAGGCCCGCGAAACAATTGTTTTAATCGTCCGCCCCAAAAAGTTTTTCCCGGAAAGGGCTCGAGCCCAGGGTTCTCTTTTAGTTGTCTCCCCCCGGTTTCGACTGCTGTAGGGCCGGCGAAATTATTCTGCGATCAATGACGTGCGGGAGTAGGGCCGGCGAATTAAAATTTGAGGATGTCTCGAACGAAACGCTTGAATTTCAGAATTTGTTGAGGATGTCTCGAGCGAAACGCTTGTTTTGTATTATATATTGTGCTCTCCTGGGGACCTGAATTCAGAGGATCTCTCAGGTGAAATGCTTGTTTTCACGAGCCCAGGTTTTGAGGATGTTTCGAGCGAGACGCTTAGTTTCACGCTTCCAGGTTGCCCAGACGGGTGTCTAGCATGAGGATTTGTTGAGGATGTCTCGAACCAGAGGCTTGTTTTCACGTGTCCAAGTTGCCTAGGCGGATGTCTAGCACGAGGCGGTGTCGAGGAAGTCTCGATCGAGACGCTTGTTTGCGCGTGTCCAGGTTGTCCAGGCGGATGTCTAGCATGAGGATGTGCTGAGAACATTTTGAGCGAAACTCGTGTTTTCACGTGTCCAGGTCGCCCAGGCACAGCACAGCCCTCGGCACGTACATCAATATCGATACCCTTAGCATTGCAGCCTGGCACGTTGCCTGGCACGTTCCGCGGAGCGTCCCGTGGCGAGTCCCCCTGGCACCTCGCGCGGTGCATGTCCATTGGCTCGTTCCGTAGCGCGTCCCCTTGGCACGTCCCGCGGTGCGTGCCCATGGCGCGTCCCTTGGGACGTTCCGCGGCGCGTCCTCCTGGCATGTCCCCCTGTCCATTAGCTCTGGGGCAGCTACTATGTGCTGAGGCCGCTCGAGCTTAAGATCTAGGTCGGTTCGGTCAGGACTCGTGTGCAAAGGAGGACTCGATCCACAACGCTATAGAGCACAATCGCGGCATGGCACGTCGCAGTTCAGCACAGCGCAGCACAGCACAGCCCACGGCACGGTACATCAAGTTCGATACACTCAGCATTGCAACTTCGGCACGTTCCGTGGCGCGTCCCGTGGCGAGTCCCCCTGGCACGTCGCGCGGCGCGTCCCCTGGAACGTCCTGTGGCACGTCCATTGGCACGTTCCGTAGCGCGTCCCCTTGGCTCGTCCCGCGGTGTCCCCATGGCACGCCCGTTGGCACGTCGCCTGGCGCGTCCCTTGGGACGTTTCGCGTCGCGTCCTCCTGGCATGTCCCTTTTGTCAATTAGCTCTGGGGCAGCTATATGTGTTCAGGCAGCTCGAGCTTCAGATCCAGATCAGTTCGGTCAGGACTCGGATGCAAAGGAGGACTCGATCCACGACGCTATAGAGCACAATCGCGGCATGGCACATCGCAATTCAGCACGGCGCAGCACAGCACAGGTCTCGGCAGGGTATATCAGGATCGATACACTCAGCATTGCAACCTGGCACGTTTCTGGCACGTTCCGTGGCGCGTCCGGTGGCGAGTCCCCTTGGCAAGTCGCGTGGCGCGTCCCCTGGCACGTCCTCTGGCACGTCCATTGTCACGTTCCGTAGCGCGTCCCTTTGAAGGCACATCCCGCGGTGCGTCCCCATGGCACGTCCCCTGGCACGTCGCCTGGCGCGTCCCTTGGGACGTTTCGCGGCGCGTCCTCCTGGCATGTTCCCCTGTCAGTTAGCTCTGAGGCAGCTACTATGTGCTGAGGCAGCTCGAGCTTAAGATCCAGATCAGTTCGGTCAGGACTCGGATGCAAAGGAGGACTCGATCCACAACGCTATAGAGCACAATCGCGGCATGGCACATCGCAGTTCAGCACAGCGCAGCACAGCACAGCTCTCGGCACGGTACATCAAAATCGATACATTAAGCATTGCATTTGCCCGTCGCCCAATCAGGTGTCTTTCAAACGTTGCCATGCCTTACATTTCTATATTCCTTTCCGGGTTCGTGGGTCGATCATGTTTTAATCGTTTCCTCCCATTAAGTCGGTCTCTTGGGGGGCTCTTGGGGGCCCATTGGGGCGGGAGGCCACAATCCTCGTGAGGGATGGCGACAAATAGCCTCTGCCCTGGGATCGCGCGGGGGATTCGGGATCGGCCGGGGTACGTTTCGTGCGGAGCTCCCCAAGGGCAGCCCCGCGCGCGCGAACGACAAAAATGTTAAGCAACTGGAGATCTTAGCACGTCTCTGGCCCGTTGGGCCGGCGAATTTACCAATCCAGGGCGCCACCACGCCCCACCCTCTTCCTCCTCCTCCTCCTGCTCATTTCTCTCGGCTCAGTTCGGCAGCGGTGCGGAACGCAGAGGCTTCCGACTTTGCACTGCCTCGCTTCAGGGCAGCCAGTGCCACGCACCAGCCTGGGTTGCAATGGGCCGTTCTTCTGCAATCGGGCCTGTTCCTGCACAGGAGGAGTCTTCAAAAATAGTCCAACCATAGTCTGGGGACGACTTTTTGATTTCTTTTGAACTGTGTTGGGGTATCGTTGGACTGTTTTTAATTTTCGTCCAAAACCCGTTTGTGGGAGGACGCGCCCGACCTGACATTGTGCCTGCTTCCTCAAGGCTAATTTTCACAACACCAGTCGTCTCAGCCCTGTCTTAGCCATAGTCTTCGGTACTCGCCCCAGAATGGGGAACAAAGAGGGTGGAAGCGGCGCCCACAAGGGTCGTAGGACTGATTGCGGTGGCCACCCAGCGTTCTGTTGCACAGCCAGCGCCGATGGCATCGACTGTCTGGAAGTCAGTATAGTAGCTCACTTGCTGCGTGCAGATCGCTCGATTGTCGAGGTGAGCAATGTCAATCCCCTGAACACCACCGTCAATTGATGCTTTTGGCTTCTCGGGTCGCTCTGGTGAGGCCTTTCGAGGCCACTTCGAGTGTCTTGGGGGCTTTTTCTTGGGCCGTTTTGGGATCATGTTCGGCGTCGTGGAGCGTCCTTTGGGCGTGTCGGGAGCCTCTTGGTCAGTCTTAGCGGCCTCTTGGGGCCTTCTTGGCGCGCCCTGGGGGGCCTGACAGGCCGTACTCAGGAGGAAAACCATCTCTGAGTAGAATTCCCCGTGACCTTTCCGCGACCTTCCCGGGCTGCGGTTCAGGCCTTCTGCAGCGCTCTTGGAGGCTTTTGGGGCGCCCTTGCAGCTACCTTGGAGGGCGTCGATCAAAAAAGAAGGTCAGCGTTTGATGGATTTTCGTCTTGGCGGCCTCCTTTGAGAGGCTGCGTGGCCACTTGGAGCCGTCTGGGAACTGTCTCGGGGCTTCTTGGAGTTTTGGAAACCATGCTGAGCCATCTGGAGCAATCTTGGAGGTCATCTTATCCTCTTTGAAGGCCTCCTGGAGCCATCTTGTGCCATCTTGGGCGCTCGTTTCCCTTGGCGCAGAAGGGCCCCGAGACGGCCCGAGCGGTATCCAAGACAGGTTAGAGGGGCTTCAAACATTCCACGAGGGGCCCAACAGGAAGAGCCCGCACCAACTAAAAGATCCCACGAGGGGCCGAAGAGGGGGAGCCCGAACCAAAAATCCAGCATCTTCAGCGTTTTGAAGCCTTGTGAACGTTTTCATGGGGGCTCTGCGAGCTTCTCCAGGGTTTATCGGCGCATCGTGGGAGTTTGTTGGGGGCCTCTTGGTGCTCTTTTGGTGTCGTATTCAGGCGTCGGCACGTCCATTGGCACGTTCCGTAGCGCGTCCCCTTGGCACGTCCCGCGGTGCGTCCCCATGGCTCGTCCCTTGGCACGTCGCCTGGCGCGTCCCTTGGAACGTTCCGCGGCGCGTCCTCCTGGCATGATCCCTCTGTCGATTAGTTCTGGGGCAGCTACCATCTGCTCAGGCAACTCGAGCTTACGCTCCTCATCAGTTCGGTGAGGACTCGGATGCCAGGGAGGACTCGATCCTCAATGCTATGTAGAGCACAATCGCGGCATGGCACATCGCACTTCAGCACGGCGTAGCACAGCACAGCCCTCGGCACAGTACATCATCATCGATACATTCAGCATTGCATGTGCCCGTCGCCTAATCACGTGTCTTTGAGATGTTGCAATACCATACATTTCTATATTCCTTTCCGGGTTCGTGGGTCGATCATGTTATTCATCGGTTCGCTCATTCCGCTGGCCCTGGAGAGCTATGTGGGGCCTCTTGGGGCCGTCTTGGGGGCTTCTTGGGAGCGTCTTCGGCCTCGTTGTCAGCGTATTGGGCTCCCCTGTGGCCTCTTGGGGGGATCTTGGGGGCCCCTTGGGACGGGAGGCCACGATCCTCGTGAGGGATGTCGACAAATAGCCTCCGCCCTGGGATCGCGCGGGGGATTGGTGATCGGCCGGGGTACGTTTCGTGCGGGGCTCCCCAGGGGCCGCCCCGCGCGCGCGAACGACAAAAATGTTAAGCAAGTGGAGATCTTAGCACGTCGCTGGCCCATTGGGCCGGCGAATTTACCAATCCAGGGCGCCACTGTTGTCTCGTGACCGCGCGCCATCACGCCTCACCCTCCTTCTCCTCTTCTCCTCCTGCCCATCTCTCTCGGCTCAGTTCGGCAGCGCTGCGGTACGCAGAGGCTTCCGACTTTGCATGGCCCCGCTTCAGGGCAGCCAGTGCCACGCACCAGCCTGGGTTGCAATGGGCCGTTCTTCTGCAATCGGGCCTGTCGACTTGAGGCACGCACAGACGTGGCTTGACAGCCGCCTGCGCGACCTGAACGAGGATCAGAGGTTGGTAGGAGGGAGGAGGACGAAGAGGAAGGAGGAGGAGGAGGAGGAGGAGAAGAAGAAGGAGGATGAGGAGAAGGAGGAGGAGGAGGAGGACCAGTGCAAATCCAAGACGCATCAACGATGTTGAAATACACCCTCCCTCCAAGATCCGCCACGTTCCATCTTCATAGGTCCCTGAAGGAAATTATGCTCATTGCGGGAAGTGGCCCGTTAGAAGACAACAGTCTGAGAATCCTCCATCGTGCCAAACACCGTTCCTGGGATTCCAGCGCCGCGGATCGACATGACTGGTGGGTCTTGACAATCCGACATCCTGCCAGAACGCCGTTCCTGGGACTACAACACCGCAAATCAGCGTGACTGTTAGGTCCCGACAATCCATGACAGTCCTGAATCGGGCCAGAGCACCATTCCTGTGCGTGCCGCCACGTCGGTAGCCACATTCTGAAAAGGAATCGCCCTCCACCCGTGAAACTGCTGCAAACGTTAAAGACGAATGTGCGCGGCGCTGAGGCGAGAATCACATTTTGAAAGCCACCCGTCCTGTATCCGTGAAACTGCTGCAAGCTTTTAAGACGAATGCGCGCGGCGCTGAGGCGAGAGCCACATTTTGAAAAACGCCTGAAACCGGCGCGACCCCAATTAGGGGGAAGCTTCCTATTGCATGGACGCATTGCTTGGCATTGTTTGGCATTGCTTGGCATGAGGCACCCGGGGAACCCTGGGAACCTCCGAGCAATGGGCAAACTAACCCCCCGAGGCACCAACCTTGAACCAGGTAAGAACCCCTTAGGCAAGCCTAATTGGGTAGAAATTCAAGCACGACCCCACTCTCCCAGGTCGAGTAGCGAGTTGCCCTTTTCTCGGCTCTCGAGAGGGCTATGCGGCCGCCACTGTGGCGCGCCTGCGCCCGCCTGACCGCCTGGGGCGGCGACCTTCGGGAACCTCGGGCGGCGGTCGACATGGATATATTCGGGACCTGGGCTGGCCATTATCCATATCCACCACCTGCCGAGGTCCCCGAAGATCGCCACCTCAGGCGATGGCTGTGGATAAAGCCCCGCCTCGCAGAGGACGACTTCGAGGGAGGCCTCCGCATTTTCTGCACCAGCAACCTGGTGCCTCCGGAGGCCTTCCAAGACGTCTGGCACGTGATCTCCAGGGACTCGGACATACGCGAAGGTACACCCCTGCTCAGCGGGGAGGACTCGGCCCAGCTGCACACCATCCTGGTGTTCTGCAACCAGAACAGTTGCAACGAGGTCAAGAGGCTCTGTGACATCATCACGAACATAGATACGGGCAGCCAGGACGCCCCGCCGATGTTCTGGGTGCCCCACTCCGCTGCGCCTGGTTCCCAACGCCAAGACAACTCGGACTTAGTGAGGCCAGAGCTGGTGGGTGATCTCTTGCACAAGGGCCTGGACGGCATCGTGTGCGGCGAGCCAGCGGGGCTGCGACTCTCCATGGCCGTGCGCTCGATGATCCGCAAGTCGGCGAGCCTCTCGCGGAACCTGACCGAAATGGTCGCGGAGACCCGCTCGCGGACGCAGTACGCGGAGTATTTGCAGCATTGCGCGCACGCGACCCTGTGGGACTACGTGAGGGCCCGCCTGGCGCCCGAGATCCCGCCCGTCGACCACAACCTTGAGCCCGGAGAGCCGCAGGAGCTTCCCGGCTACATCATCGGGAACAAGCTCGGACAGGGGATGTTTGGGTCTGTCTACAAGCTGACGGAGGGGCCCGGGGTGGGCAACAGGGTCCAGGTTGTCAAGGTGGTGTCCACTGAGGCCATCACGGAAATCAGAGACTTGATGTACCTCAACCGCATGATCCGCGTGATGCAGATGCTGAGCGACGAGGAAACGCGTCACCCGAACATTATTCGCCTTCACCAGACATACCACTCGCCGACGCACATCATCTTTCGACTGGAGTACGGGGGCCCAGAGAACTTGTACCGCCGCCTGCACCACCGCCAAGCACTTCAGCCGGAGAAGCAGCGACCACTGAGCATCGACAGGGTCGTGAAGATCGCCTCGCAGTGCGTCGAGGCAGTGTGGCACATGCACGCAGTGGTGCAGGTCTGCCACCGCGACATCAAGCCAGAAAATATCATCGTGAATGAGACACCCGAGACCATCACCATCAAGCTGGCCGACTTCGACCTCTCCGTCATCATCCAGGACGACAGCAAGATGTGCCAGAGCCCCTGCGGCACCGTGCCCTTCGCCGCCCCAGAGGTGCTCCGAGATGGTCCCGCCTTCGACCCCTGCCCAGCGGACATCTGGAGCCTGGGCGTCGTGCTCGCGGAGGTATTCTGCGGGGTGCGTGTGGTGGAGCTCGCGATCAAGGACGCAGAACCAGAGGTGCGGCCAGAGGGCGAAAACACAACGTTCACCGAGTGCATCCAGACCTTCTTCCAGATGCCTGCCGCGGTTGCCAACATGCTGGAGAAGAGTTGCCGCCCAGAGCTCCGCTCACTGCTGCCCACCTGCAGTGCGATGCTCACAGGGATGCTGGTGGTCGACCCCACTCAGAGGATCGGAGGCGTCATCTAAATGCCCACCTCACCGATATCTGGGCCAGGCCAGGACCAGTGCATGGGTGTGCCCTCCTCTAGGCTGGCTTCTGGTGTGGCTTTCCGGTGTTGCCTTTTCTGTGTTCTTGCTATGCTGTTGCCATGTGACTGTGATGATATTGGCACGCTGATGCCATATTATGGCCATGCCTGAACCATATTATTGACGCTCCGCGTATCCCCACCAGCTCTGACTCACACCGAGCGATCGACCTCTGCGTGTTTATGGTCGCGCCGCAGCGCCATTTTGGCTACGCTTACTTGCTGGTCGCCACCGGGGTTTCCAACGCCACCGGGTTTGAGAGTATCGGTTCTGGCTCTTCTTCTGAGTGGCTGCCCGCGCGCTCGCTTCGCTTGCCTTTCTTTTCCTGCTGCCTAGTCGCGGCCCGACTAGTGTTCGGACGGCTTTCGACCCGCCTCGCGAGCCTGTTGACCAAAAAAGTATCCCCACCAGCCCATTCAGCAACGAGGCCCAGACGAGTTGCCCTGATCAGAGAAGGGGGGGGAGGGGCACAAAGGACTCGGGAAGCCTTCATACCCCAACAGGGGGAAGGTGGAGGATGAATCGGAGGAGATGGAGGAGGACACGGAGGAGGAGGAGGGGGGAGGAAAGAAAAGGAAGAGGGAGGACGGAGAAGAAGTAAGAGGACGGTAAGAACGAAGAGGGCGAGCAGAAGAACAAGAGGCCGCTTGGCTGCCTCTCGGAGTCTCTTGGGATGTCTCCTGGGAGCTTCTTGGAGGCCTTTTGAAGCGTCTTGGGCGCCTCTTGGCGGTCCCGGGGGCATCTTGGAGCGTCTTCGGTGCCGCGGGGGAGCCTCTCGGGGCTCTTGAGGGGGCCGCTTGGGAGCCTCTTGGGGGCCTCTTGGGGCTTCCTGGGCGCCTCTTGGAGCCTCGTTGGGGCACTCTTGGGAGCCTTGGGGGCTCTCTGGGAGGCTCCCGAGGAGGTGGGTGGGTTGGTGGAGGGGCGGGGGGATGGGGGGGGGGGTGGGGGGCCGGTGAGGGTGGAGGGGGCGCGGAGAGAGGGGTGGAGGGGCGAGGGCGGGCCATGCTGTTGCCATGCTTTTGCCATGCAGTTGCCATGCAGATGCCATGCCATTGCCTTGCTATTGCCATGCAGTTGCCATGGAGTTGCCATGCAATTGCCGTGCAGTTGCCATGCAGTTGCCATGCTTTTGCCATGAAATTGCCATGCAGTTGCCATGCAATTGCCATGCTATTGCCATGCGATTGCCATGCAGTTGCCATGCAATTGCCCTGCCCTTGCCATGCTGTTGCCATGCAGTTGCCATGCAGTTGCCGTGCAGTTGCCATTCGGTTGTCATGCGGTTGCCATACAACTGCCATGCAGGTGCCATGCTAATGCAATGTTGCTGCCATGATATTGCCATACAATTGCCATGCAACTGCCCTGCCATTGCCATGCAGTTGCAATGCTATTGTCATGCTGCTGCCTTGCAATTGCCATACAGTTGCCATGCTATTGCCATGTTTTTGCCGTGCCGTTGCCATGCGATTGCCATGCTGTTGCCATGCAGTGTCCATGCAATTGCCATGCAGTTGCCATGAAGATGCCATGTTATAGCCATGCTATTGCCATGCAACTTCCACGCAGTTGCCATGCTATTGGCATGCAGTTGCCATGCTATTGTCATGCAGTTGCCATGCAATTGCCATGCTGTTGCCATGCTAGTGCAATGCTGTTGCCATGCTGTTTCCATGCTTTTGCCATGCAGTTGTCATGCAAATGTCATGCTGTTGCCATGCTGATGCCATGAAGTTCCCCTGCTATTGCCATGCAGTTGCCATGCCATTGGTGTGCCATTGCCATGCTATTGCCATGCAATTGCCATTCCTAGGCTGGCCTGGTGTGGTGTTCCGGTTTTGCCTTTTTCCGTGTCCGTGCTATGATTGTGCCATGTGATTGCCATGAGATTGGCACGCTGGTGCCGTACTATGGCCATGCCTGTACCATATTCTTGACACTTCGCGTATCCCTACCAGTCCGTAGCCCCTCTGGCTCAAGCCGTCTGGTGGGCCTGCCCTCTCCGGGGCAGTCTCCCGCCGCTCAAGGGGGCGCCCAGACGCTGCGCCGGGGGCCCGCGGCCCTGGACCCCCTCCAGCCCCGGGCGCGCCAGCCATCGCGAACGCCTTCCCGCCGCGCAGACGGGCTCAGCGGCCCGAGGCTCAGATCGGATCAGGACCGCTGCCTCATGTTTGGTCGGCCTGATATAGCTTACGATCGATCGGCGACAATCCTGTCATCCCTGCGGGGGAAAGAGCCGCATCATCCGATGTCGGCCTCGGGACCACTGGGCCAAATGACTTTGGACAGACTCGCCCTGGATCTCAGGACACCATCCCGCTGGGGCAACCGTCGCTCTCTGTTCCCTGGAATGGGAGCGTTTCGGCCGATGCTTCGGGCACGCGAGGACAAATGGTCCCCAGCCAATCGGAGGGAGGGGCTGATCCCCTCAACACTGTGATACACACCGAACGTGCGACCTTCCGTCGCTACCCTGGACTTGAGATCGACGGACGCGCAGCGGTAGACGGGGTTGATACGTTCAGCCCTCCGCTTCATACTGACAGCGCGACCTTCCGTCGCCATCCTGAAGGTAATAATGTCAGACATGAGGCCCTCCCGCCCAGCTACCCTTCCCTTACCCCCACTCTTCCTCTGCCCACGGCTGGACGCCCAATCTCCTTTTCTCCAGGCAGCGCTGGGCACAGCGGGACCGCCCATGGCGATGCTAGGCTCACGGGGGCCGACGGGCCCACTCCTGAAGCAGTTTATTATCCCACGAACCCCCCTCCTCTCGGACAGTCTCGCGACGAGCCGGGAGTTGCCCTCGGCTCCCGACGCAGGGACCTCGATGGCGTGGATGGGGACTGTATGGACCCGACACCCCCAGCAAGCGCCCATGAAGGCGAAGTGGGGGGAGACGGGCAGTCACGTCGCCTCGGCCCCGTCGCGCATCCTAGGGGCTCTTGCCCTCACTCCGCCGTGCCCCCCTCTCTGGACGCGGCCGCCCCGAGTGAGGCTGCTCCCCACAACGGTTCGAGCATGGAAGACATGTCCTCAGGTTGCTGCGCGCACATCGATGCTGACACCACTCCAGGCCGCCTTCAGGAGCCTGACAGCGGCAGGCGTAGCATTGAAGGAGGGGGTAGTGCGGCCATCCCCACAATTCACACAGAACGCGCGGCCTTCCGTCGCTACCCTGGAACGGACTGCGACGGGCAGAGGAACGCCCGCGATGTTCAGCCCAGGGAACGGTGTGTAGGGGAAGAATGCACCAGGGAGCTGACCCCTGCGGGGGATGGTCGTGGCAACGTTGGCAGAGGACAACCCGACGCTGCGACCTTCCGTCGCTCCCATGGGCGCGATGACCTTGGGCACGAAGCCCTCCTGTCTAACCCAACCGCCTCTCTCACCCCCGCCGCTCCCATGCCCGCTGCAGGACGTCCAACTTCCCTCGCTCCAGGCGCTGTCGGTGAAACGACCCCAGGCGTCACCAGGGCTACGGGGGGAGAGGGCCCCGCTTCGGCACAAAACTCCCCCGCGGATCCAGTCTCGCTTAGGACAACCGACGAGGAACAGACAAACATCCGCCGCGGTCTTCCCAGGGGACAGGTTGACTCGGATGTTGCGCTCAGGGAGCTGATATCCTCAGGGGACGCTCACGAGGGCATAGGCAACAGGAGCGGGCAAGCCGCTGCCCGCAGCCCCTGCACGCCCCATCAAGGCTCACGCCAACCCACCGCCGACCCCCCCCCCTGGGCGTGCCCGCGCTGGGTGAGGCCGTCCCCGCTGGCGAGCTAAGCGGTGGAGCCACGCCTTCCACCTGTGAAGGGCATCCCGCCACCGACGCAGCATCCGACCGCTCCCGTGCACCCGAGAGCGGCAGGCATAATGTTGGAGAAGGGGGGGATGCAGACATTCCTGATATACACCCAAACCGTGCGACCTTCCGTCGCTACCCTGGAGCGGATGGCGGAAGGCTGGACGAGGCCCAAGGCGTTCGACCCAGGGAACAGTCGGACGGGGGAGCTAGGACCAGGGACCCTACCCCCACGGGGGTTGGACGGGGGTGCGGTGGTTATGTGCACCCCAGCGCTGCCGCCTCCAGTCGACCCACTGGAGACGAGAGCGCTAGGCACCACACTTAAGGAGTGGACGAGGCTCTCCCCCCCGCGATACACACAGAACGTGCGACCTTCCGTCGCTACCCTGGACCGGACGACGGCGCGCAGAGAGAGGCGCACGGCGTTCAACCCAGGGATCGTTGGCAGAGGGAAGACATGACCTGTGACCCAGCCCCCACAGAGGCGGGACGGGACAGCGTCGTCAGTATACACGCTGATACCGCGGCCTCCCGGTGCCTCCCAGGAGCAGGCCACGGGCCGTGCCTCGCGCTTGAGGGAGGGGTGCGAGAGTCGGGGGTCCCCGGCTCCAGTGATCGCAGGGAGGCGCCCTCCTCCACAGGGATGATCGATCGCCTTTGTCTCGCCATGGGTTTGGCCGTTGGAAGGCCTGACGGGCCTCCTCGTTCGCCCAGCACCCCCAGGGTTGCTCCCGATCCCGCGGTCGGGGCCGCTCCTCATGTCGATCCGATCGATCGGGCAAGGTCTCCGATCCCGGCGGGTGGATCTCCTCGTGCCTTTCCTCCCTCGTCCACCAGCTCTTCCCCCGACTTCTCCCCTCCCGACCTGCCCCCTGGGCTCGAGTTTCTTAACACTGCGCTCGGTGGATGCCGTCGTGGACCTGACTCCTCGTCACAGGGCAGAGAGCGGGGGCCTCTCCTTTGGACGGACAGCGGCGCGCCCCTCGAGGTCAGCCACACGGCACACAGGGGCCCCGTCCTCACGGACCCCCCCTCCTACCCATCTCCAGATCTCGCCCTGGAAGATGATCTGCGAATGGAGAACCCGCCCACCCCCTCAGACCTTGACGACCCCAG